GAGACACTAGAAGATGCAAGGGGACACTAGAAGACACAAGGAGACACAAGGAGACACAGAGACACTAGAAGACACATGAAGACACTAGAAGACACGGGAAGACACTAAAAGACACAAGGAGGCACTAGGAGGCACAATGAGACACACAGAGATACTAGAAGACACAAAGAAACACTAGAAGACACAATGAGGCAATGGAAGACACATGGAGACACAAGGAGACATTATAAGACACATGGAGACACAAGGAGACCCGGACATGGCACAACAATGCTGGACAGAAGATGGAGACAACTGAGGGACATTATGGACAGGGGCTGATTAGTGGAGTGGAGACTGCAGCTTTCAGCTACAGTTTAGCTCATTTGAGCTTTTAGCCATCATTTTGCTTATTACAACTAATACTAGTGGTTTTAGCTGTGGTTTAGCATAATTTAGCTTTAAGCTATTGTTTTGTTATTTCACTGAACATAATGCTCCATTAATCCAAGGTAAATGTTGCAGGCTTACAGGAGGACTCGGACAAACACCGGCAGAGCTCCTGTTCTCCTTCGCCCTCTTTTTTTTTGTTTTGGCTGCAGATTTGGCGGCGCTGATGTCAAAGTGTTCCTTTCGGTTCCCGGGCACATGTAGAACACGCTGCAGAGTGCAGCGCACAGATGACATGGAAGCTTCTAAATTTACTGACTTGGCCTCAATAAGAGTTTCCATGGGAACCGGTCCGGCTGCCGGTGTCAGCGAGGACGTTCGCTCAGAAACAAAATTATCTGTGAGGTTTCTTGTGGAGCGCTTTTATTTTCTATAAAAATATAAATATCACGTTTCTGTCCAAAATGACTGACCTGCTCCCATTCTCCTCATTTGATGTTTTTGACACGCTGCCTGAATCAAAACCCCTCAGGTTTGTTTTTGTTTTATTATAAATGTTCTGCTTTAAGATGCTGAATAAATTTTAAAAATAATTAATAAACAAAATGACTGTGCAAGTCTTTCCTAGTTTCTTCTCCTTTGCTTCCATGAAGTCATAGTGTTGTGTGTTTTTGTGAACTCTTCATCGGCACTTCTTCAGACCCACTGAAGGTTTTTCAACGTTTCATCTACACATTTTCAGGTCGGCGCCTGACTCTGATCACGCACGGCGGGTGATATGCATTCCTTTGGGAAATGCTATGTTTTTATTACTAAGTGGTGAGGGTGTGTGCTGAGTCAAGAAAGTTGTTTTCTTTAGTTTCTGTTATGAATCTCTTTGAAGGAATGCATATCGCCCACAGCCTGCATGCCAAAAAGCCACAGTCTGACTCTCGGCTACTAACACCTCAAACTTTAGCTCAATAGTTGTGAAACATAAAATTAGTTGCAACCGTTTTTATTTTGGATTATGGTGATTAGCCGTGGCAGCCATTTTGAATCAGGCTGACTCCAAAAGTTTATCAAAGTTATTACAGTTTCATTAAAGCCTGTCTTATGGGTTAAGAGATATTTTGCTAACAGACAAACAAATAAACAGACACAGTTACACTATTGCCCGCCATATTCAGCATTCACACCTTTGATTTTTTGTTTAGAGTTCCTTCTGCACATCAATTTCTTCCTCAGACTTTGTGGTAATTTTATCCATTTCTACATCAAAACATTCGGCTCAGTCTGGATCAGAGTGCTTTGATTTTGGTTTTTGCCATTTTAACATTTGATATTTAAAATTTACAAACACTTTACCCATTAAAATACACTTAACTCTTCAGTTCCGTTTGAAACTTTCTCTTAACTTTGCTTCAGCAAACCAGCTTTGTTTGCCTTTTTAACTTTTAGCCACAACTTTACTACATGTACCACGCAGCATTTGATTTTAGCTTTAAGCTATTACTTAGCTTTTTTTATCCTTTAGAAGTTGTTTTACAATTTTTTTGCTTTTGGCTTCAGATTTGCTAAATTTAACTTTTAGTCACTGAGCAATTTTGGCTCTTTATTGTAGTTTTGCCATATTTACCTTTTAACTACAGTTTAGCTACATTTTACATTTTTAAGTTGTTTCCCAAATTTTAGCTTTTAGCTACAGTTGTGCTACTTTAAGCCAAAGGTTTGCTACTTTTAGCTTCAGTTTTGCTACTTTAAGACAATGGTTTGCTACTTTTAGCTTCAGTTTTGCTACTTTAAGCCAATGTTTTGCTACTTTTAGCTTCAGTTTTACTACTTTAAACCAATGTTTCGTCACTTTTAACTTTAGCATTGCTCTTTAAGCTCCCGTTTGCTGATCTTCTGCCAACATTAAGTTGATTCTTTGTTACCTTGGCAGCGAGGCCTCTGGCGGCCTCCTTCCTCAGAGCTGGACTCTCTCCGGCAGCTGCAGTAGAGTTCTGGTTGGACTGGACCTCAGCTGGATGTTTGGAGGCTCCTTTTCCCTGCTTCTCTCCAGCTGCAAAGAGCAAAAATCTGCCATGAGTGAACTTTTCATAAAAACCAGAGGCAATCGGCTGAAAATGATTGCTGCAAGTGGAAATAATGACATCTGGCTAAAACACAACAGAGTGTTTTCAAAGTATTTTAGCCATTTCTGGGGGGATTTGTTTGTTTTTTTGGCGTGTGCCATGATTTCATTACCAATCAAGCACGTCACAGCATGCAGTGAGCCATTATGTGCACAATCCATCTGCATGAGTTGTTTTTCTGCCCTTGATGTTTTTTCGACACAAAAACAATTCCGGTGCCACTCAGGAGAGGAAGAAACAACAATCTTAGTCCACTTATGAAGCAGCAATCAGCCGAAGAACCTCAGGGGAGAACCTGGAGGAAGGTCGTTTGACCCAGTTAACAAAAATTTACAAGAATCTGACTTTACTCAAGCAGAACTAACGACTGAAACACAAAATGAATAAAACATTTCTTCCAAAACACAGTTCTCTTTAGAACGTACTTCAGCATATACTGGCTCTGTGTTTATCTTCTGTTTTGCTCCTTTTAGCTACAGTTTTGTCCATCTAAATTTTAGCAACTGTTTTGCTATTTTTAACACGTTTACTAGTTTTAGCTACAATATTAAGAACTGTAGCATCTATTTGGCTACCTTTAGCTTTGAAATCCATCTCCTCCTAACGTTAGCTAATGTTTTGATAGAATAAACAGCTTTTTACAAATTACAACTTTGCATCTGAACTGCAGCTTTTAACCTCTAGCTACTGTTCTGCTGCTTGTAATGTTTAGCCTGTGTTTTGTTCATGTAAGCCTCTTTTCTGCACATTTTAGCCTTTGTACTTTATTCGAACCATATTTAGGCTTTGTTAGGCTCATTTTAACCCCTGATTGGCTCATTTTAGCTTCTATTTTGCTCATTTTAGCCTTTGTTTGGCTCATTTAAGCCTATGCTCCATTTAGTTTAGCCTCTATTTAGCTCAGTGAAGCCTTTGTTTGGCTCATACTAGCATCTGATTTGCTCATTTTACCTTCAGTTCTACTAATTTTACCTTTCAGATCAATTTTGTCTTTGTTCTGCTCATTTCAGCCACTGTTGTGCTTGTTTTAAGTTCAAGTTCAAGTCAGCTTTATTGTCATTACCATCACATGTGGTACATGAGATGGAAGAAATGACGTGCACAGGGTCCCAGTTACACCCAAAAATAACCTTTAACCTTAACAATGTAGTGATTAGTGTGCATTTTATGTTTTTTGGCAGATATTAACAGTCATTTAGTGCCAAGCATTGATCGTGCAATGTCACAGAAAATGCAGTTTCTCTTCTTTTTTTTTTGTTTGTCTTGTTGTCAGTGTTTGTTTTAATTGGAAAACAAATATAAATAATTAAATAAATAAACATAATTTTACTTGTGGTTTTACAAAAAAGATAAAAGTCTTACATTTAGGGGAGAAGCCGGGGCTCTGAGGCATGCTGGGAACTCCGTGTGGCGCGCGCACACCATGACAGCTGAGCGCCACCAGCCGCCAGATGATGGCCGTCTTGCCGGACCCGGCGTTGCCAACGATTACAGCACCGCGCCCCTCGCAGCTGCTGGTTTTTCTCAGGACCTCCTCCAGGCGCGTGAAGAGCCAATCCCGGCCCACGAACGGCGTCTCGGGCGTGACGCCGGGGACTTCGAACAGCAGCGGTTTGAGCATGATGTCGGCCTGTTTGATTGGCGCCAACCTCCCCGGACCTGGAGGTCAAAGTTCAAACTGGTTGGAGGTGGATCGTTTTATGCGTAATTATCATGTTAGTGGTTGTTTATTTGTGTCTGAAACTCTTGGAAAGTAATATACATCTACAACTGATTCACTTTTAGAGCCAAGCCAGTTCAAGATGGCTGCCAAAGCATGTCACCTATAACAAACATAAATTACTCTGTCAGTTTTACCAACCCAAAGTTTGGTGTGATAGTAGCTGAAAATTATTTACAACACATCCTCTGCTCATTTATAGTTTTTGTTTTGTTTTCTTAATTCTTGATCTTGCAACATTGTGTATGATTGCAACAAAAATGGCTACAACTCTGTCATTTCCCAACATAAGATGACTTCAGGCGGCGGGCGATATGCATTCCTTTAAAGAAGCTAGGTCTTTATTTTAATGATCGTAGAATAGAGATGTTTTTACAAACACCTAAATTCAAATTAAAATACAGTTTTTACCATAAAAGGCCACTGCATTATACCTTTGGAGTCATCGCTCGTGCGTCCAGCTGTGTTGTGTTTACGGACCGAGCCCCGGTTCCCAGCAAACCTCTGGTGGTCCAAAAAACCCAGATCCTCCAGTCGAGTGGAGCTTGTCGCTGTGCAGAGTGAAAGAAAGGGGAAAGAATTCAGAGTGTCAGAGATCTGCAATAAGAAACAATAATAAAAATAACAAGTGTGCTGTAGATACTCCATCAATTACCGTCTCCATGGAGACAGATCAGATAAACAGTTTTTGCTTTTACTGACGCTTGCTCGCCGTCCTGGAGGAAACAAGACAGGAGGAAAGGAACTCATCCCACGCCCCGGGAGCCGACATGAATATGAAATGACCAAATGTTTCGTGCCGTCGCAGGACACTGGATTTGTGAGAATCCGTGGAAACACGTCGCCGGCTGCGACGCCACAACAGATCAGCTGTCTGTAACGAGATCCACGAATCTCCAAATGAGCCAGTTTTTTTTTTAAAACGACGGAGAGAAATAAAATAACGTGTTTTTAGAGACGAGCAGGAGCACTCGCTCCTATCCATCCACCCACTATAGGCGCCACAGCTCATTCAAGCTTCCTGTTTTGCAGGTTTAAAAACTTGTACGAGTCTTTTACGATCTTTTGCAAAAATAATAAACGCATTTGCAATTTTTGAGCGCTGAAAAAAAAAAAAAAATGACAGAAAAGAAAAACGATAAGTTTCCTTGAAGGAATCGCTCCAGAGGCGTCACCAAAGAGGGGCTGGAGGAGCAACGGCACCACTTTTTACGCATCTACAACTAATTATTTTTGGAGTTGATCTGATTCAAGATGGCTGCCACAGCTAACTGAGATTAGTAAACACAAAACTAGCTCTTAGTTTTACAGTTACTGTGCTAATCTTTGGTGTGGTAATAGCTGAGAATCATCCCCAACATGCACCTTGAAAGATAACAGCTGTCCTCGGATGTCTTCAAGTGGACACGTGGCTGGACCGGCACAGAAGACAGCAGCTCAGAGGACATCAAACACAGAGAGGAAGTCACGTTCCCTCCGGTAAAATCACAACATAGCTTTACATTTATAAAACTAAATACTCTGAATTTACAAACATCTCCAGCTCGTAACAAAAAAAACAGTGTTCAGCTTTAATCTGGTTGTAACTCCTTCCTCTCTGAATCTAATCCCAGCAGTTTATGAATCCAGGCACAGAACCAACTAACCAGATTACATCCTCTGAAAACACAAACATCCTCCTCACTGGGAAACATCAGTTTCCTTTATTTCATCCTTATTTCACTGAGTTAAACATTTAAGCAGATGTAGTGTTAAAAAAAAAAGAATTACTATCAAATTAAAGAAAAAATAATTTGTTTTCAACAAGTACCAAACATATCATTCATTCGTTGGCGTTTCTTTTATATATATAGAAAATAAATCCAGTACAATCTGAAAATCTGGTATTACTGCAGCCCCTAATCTCTTCAGAGCGGGATGAGTGAAAGGCCAGAATCCTGTTGGAACATGAAATAAACGAGCGAGGAAAAGATATACTCCTCCATGTTGTCACTATTATTATTATTATTAGAATATACTGAAGTCTGTGTCGAACTCGGCTCGTCTGAACCAGCTGCAGCACAGCTGAGCTACGATAGGTCTGATGAAGTCCACAAACATCTTTGAAAAATGCCAAGCAGCTCTACATTCAGACACAAAACCTTCCAGATAAAACACGTTTGTGCTTGTGGACATGATGGATAAAGGATGTTGAATATGGAGCTGCTGCAGGAGGAAGAAAAGAGGAAGACCACACAGACGATTCATGGACGTAAAGAAGGAGGTTGTGACAGAGGAGGAGATGAAAACAACAAATGGACTTGTATTTTGTATTTAAAGTGTTTTGCTTCCCATATGAACAGCTTGGTCAAATTCAAACTGTGTATGAGATGCTCCGTTTACGCAGCTAAATGCAGATTAAATGCCCTCCCCGTCCGCCTGAGGGTCGTTAGCCTCTCTGTCTGGTTCACAGAAAGGCAGATGAAGCTTTAAAGACAGCAGCTGGAAAAGGAACGTAAATAAACTGCCTTTAAAACTAAAATCTAAATGTAGCAAAACCATAGCTAAAAGAGTTATCAAAACTGTAGCTAAAAGCTAACAGAATTGTAGTTAAAAGTAAAAAAAAACCCTGTTACTACAAGCTGAAAGTACAAAGTAAAAACCATAGCTAAAAACTAAAATCAGCTAAACCGTAGCTAAACAAACCAATTATCAAAGCAGTAGATAAATATTAAATGTAGCAAATTTGTAGCTAAGAATTCAAATAACCAAAAATGTCATTAAAAAGCAAAAATTACCAAAAGCCGTTAAGAGCTAACATAAATATGGATCAAAGCTATAATTTGCATTAAAATCTTGCTAAAAGCTCAAATGACAAAAACAGTCACTAAGAGATAAAATTACCAAATTTTAGTTAAGCTAAATGTAGCCAAGTCATAGATACAAGCTAAAAGTTGTACAAAACTTTAACAAAAACCTCAAGAGACCAAAACAGTCATTAAAGGCAAAATTACTAAAACTGTAGCTAAGAGCTAAATACAAAACCATACATAAAAGCTATCATTTGTGCTAAACTGCAGCTAAGAGCTAAAATTACCAAAACTGTAACTAAAAGCTAAATGTAGCTAAATCATAGATAAAAGCTAAAAAAAAATACAGTAAAATGTAGTTAAAATCTCAAATAACTAAAACAGTCACTGAAAGTTACATTTATCAAAACTGTAACTTAAAGCTAAAAGTACCTGTCATAGCTAAACGATAAAAGATGTGCTAAACTTTAACTAAAGGTTCAAGTTACCAAAGCGGTCATTAAAAAATAATTACTAAAATTGTAGCCATAACATAAATGTAACAAAAACAGAAATAAAAGCTATAATTTGTACTAAACTGTAGCTAAAAGTTAAATGACCAAAACAGTCACTGAAATCAAAAATTACCTAAACTTTCTAAAAACTAAATGTAGCAAAACCACTGATAAAAGCTCAGGATGGGAGACTGTGATGAAATGAAGACACATCGCAATCTGCTGGCTTCCTTCCTTATAGATAAATTAATTTCATTATGTATGTGAATGCTTCCGTTCAGTGCCCTGAGATAACTTGGCCTATGTTGTGACTTGGCGCTAAATAAACTGAATTGAATTGAATAAAGTTAGCACAAACCTGTAGCAAAAGCTTAACTGATCCAAACAGTTATTAAAAGCAAAAATCAGCATAGCTAAAAGCTAAACAACAAAATTCTAGCTTAAAGCAAAACGTACTCAAACTGTGGTTAAAAGCCAAATGAAGCAAAACCATAAACAGAAGCTAAAATAAGTAAACCTTAATTAAAAGCTTAAATTAACAAAATCATAACTAAAAGTTGAATGTAAAAACAACTTTAGCTAAAAGCTACAATTAGCAAATTGCAGTTTTCTTTTTTCCCCTTCTTGTTTCGGCTGCTCCCTGCGTTAGGGGTCGCCACAGCGAACTAAGTCGCACGAAGACTTGGCAGTTATTTTTACGCCGGATGTCCTTCCTGACGGAACCACAGACACCGAGCTACCACAGCCCTCTGTGTGGAGCAGAGAGCTGCCATCTACCCGGAGGAGCAGATGGTGGGGGTTAAGGGCCTTGCTCAAGGGCCCAAAGTGGGATGAAAGAGGGTGGGGGCAGGTGTGGATGCTTCACCTACTCCACCCACATTTTTGATGTTGTCGGTACTGGGGCTTGAACCGGCGGTCTTCCAATCACAGGCCCTTCTCTAACCTCTGCGCCACCACTCCCCTAGTAGCAAATTGCAGCTAAAAGCTAAAAACTCTAAACAGTAAAAGCAACAACTACCAAAGCCATAGCTCAAAGCAGAATGTAGTAAAACCATAGTTAAGATTGTCAAAGCAGTAGCTAAAACGTAATAGTAGCAAAAGAGTTGATAAAAGCTACAATTAGCTCAACTCTTGATAAAGCTAAACTTAGCACAGCCATCATTGTTAGCTAAAATTAGCTGAACAGTAGTTAAAAAGGAGAATAGGATCAATGTTTTTAAAGGAACTAAAGAGATATTTATGTATTTTATGGAAAAACCTCTGTAAATGTTAAACTTTTTTATTTTTACTTTATTTACAGACATTAAAAGTTAGAGGCCACTTTTCTTGATTTAACCAAATGTTTGATTTTTGGGATTTTAAGCAGAAGTCTTTAATTCTGACTCAGAATTCTGGCCCATGTATCTATCACGTCTAGACTGGACTATTGCAATGGTTTATTATCTGAGTGTCCAAAAACTTCTTTAAAAAGTCTTCATTTAATCCAAAATGCTGCTGCCAGAGTCTTAGCTGGAGTTAGTAGGAGAAAAAATTTCTCTTCAGTTTTAGCTTCTCTCCAGTGGCTCCCAGTCAAATCCAGAATTGAATTCAAAATCTTACCTACAAAGCCCTCAACAACCTAGATCCATCTTATATTACAGATCTTATTGTTCCGTGTTTTCCTAACAGAATACTTCATTCTCAGACTGCAGGTTTACTTGTGGTTCCTAGAGTTTCCAAAAGCAGAACGGGGGAAGATCTTTCAGTTATCAGGCTCCTCTCTTGTAGAACCAACTTCCAGTTTCTTTCTGTGAGGCTGACACATCGTCCAGTTTTAAGACTGGGCTCAAGACTTTCCTTTTTGATAAACCCTATGGGTAGGGCTGGCTTGGGTTTCCTGACATATCCCTTAGTTATGCTGCTATAGGCTTAGCCTGCTGGAGGACAACTTGACCACATTTCCTCCCTCTGCCGATGTCTTTACTTGCTCTACTCTGGCTGGTTGTATTTGTAATTATTTCTATCTTAACATGTTTTTTTGTCTTTCCTCCAATAGAAAGTCCACCTGAACCTGCCGCTCTGTGTTTGTTTGTTTCTACTTCCTGTTCCTCTCAAAGCCAGCTGGTCGAAGCAGATGGCTGCTCATCCTGAGCCTGGCTCTGCTGGAGAGTTCTTACTGTGAAGAGGGAGTTTTTCCTTTCCACTGTTGCCTCTGTGCTTGCTCAGGATGGAAGACTGTGATAAAGTGAAGATTCAACACAATCTGCTGCTTCCTTAGATAGCTTTTAC